GCGGCTGCAGAGCTGCCTGGCTGCTGCCTACCCCCAGAGGGAAGTGGAGACCCTGTAATTCAGGAGAAGGACCATCCCACATGCCATGACCTGCAAGAGTGGGGCCAGTGTTGCCTGCCCAGCGCTGTTGACGTGAACTTTGCCATCCAGTTTCAGACAGCTGCCTTTTGGGGTGGCTGGGCAGCACTCCTGGTAGCAGGCAGCCTTCATCCCACCAGCACAGACTGGTTTGGCAGCCTTGCAGGCTTTGCTACATCCTGCCATGTAATTCAAACCCATTTTCTTCATCTGGAAGGAGAGAGACATTAGCCTGGGGGTCATGCCGAGCCTTTAGTATTAGCATTACAGGAATACAATGCTCTGCACCCCCAGGCCATACCTCACAGAAGTCCTGTCCTAAAATGCATCTAGTGATGGTCTTCCTGCCTTTGAAGCACTGGTCCCCATGACAGGAAAATGCTGCACACACTTTGCCCTGTGAGAGAAAGGACTGGGAGATACCATCTGTCCATCAGGACAAAAACTGTATTTAAGGCAGCCCTTCACTCCCAGGGCTCCTCTCCACCCCCCTCTGTTCTGCTGGTATTTGTGCTATCAGGCATTTTAGATCCAGAGATAAAGGAGTATTCTGAAACTGCAAGAAACTACTGAAAGACCAGCAGAGCAAGCAAGTTTCAAACCTCTTTTTCCTTCCTCTTAAGAGGGCTCTGCAAAGATAAGCACCTTCCCCTCCACCAGGCTCAGGAAAGGGCTGCAGAGCTCAGTGGGTCCTCACCCTCCGTGCTGCTGCAGGAAGGCTCATGCCATGGTCAGGTCAAACTCTGGGGAGCAGCCTGATGGGCAGGGACAAGGCCCACTGGACAGGGCTCCTTACTTCCAGTGCTCATTCAGGATTCGTCACCCTTCCAGAGTCAGCTTTTTCCCCCATAAAGCAAACAGAGGAGGGACCTTTTCCTGTGCCCTGCTCAGGTGGGTGGAAGCTCAGCCATCCCAGCACCACAGAGCCCATGGACTCAGCAGCCTCCTGCGTGGTACCTACATTCTGGGGGGGAGGCCGGGGGGTGCTGGTGGTTGTCAGCGGCACGGCGCTGCTGGTGGTGGGTGGCAGGTCACCTGCAGACACACAGGAGCCCTGTGAGGCTGGACACACAGCCACACAGGGACACATCCACCAGCACTGCTCACACTGTGCTCATTGCTGCCAGGGCCACCCTGCCCCTCACCCAACTCCAGGCACTCCCCAGGGCAGAAGAGAGGAAGATGCAGCCAGAAGAGAGGAAGATGCAGCCACAGCCCCACCACGCTTCTGCCCACTAGAAGAAAGCAGAACAAGGCTGGGCCATACCGTAGGCAGTGGCGTTGAGCTGCAGGCAGAGAGGGCCAGCACAGCACTCCAGGGCACACTGCTGCCTGCTGCTGCTGCTGTTGGTGCTGCACGGCTCCGCGCTGCACCCCCTGCTGCAGCCCGCGGTGTAGTTCGTGCTGGAGAAACGATAAAGCTGCAACGGCAGAGCCAAAGGATAAAGTAAGGACAAGTAAAGGATAGAGTGTGAAGAGGTGCTGCCATAAAAGAGTAGAATTAACAGTCAGGCTGTCAGAGAGGAAAGGGAGATGGACACAGATTTAATAGAGCAGTGTCTATTCCTGAGCTAGAGAAAGGGAAGGTTTTCCCTGGTGCAGCCCCCTGGCAGCTCCGTACCTGGCAGTGAGTCTCATTGTGGCAGGTGGTTGTTCTGTTGGCATGGGCTCCATCCTGGTAACACCTCTCTCCGGAGCACTGAAAGCTCTGGCAGGTTTGCTGGAGAGACACCAGGGTGTCACCCTGCAGCAAAGCTCCTCACACAGCGCTGCAGGGCTGTCCCCAGCCACAGCCTCGCTGTCCGCAGGGGCCACCCCCACCTGGCCACCCACTGTGCTCCCTTCCACCACAGGAGATGCTCCCATGGCACTCCTGTGACCAACCAGCCAGGCAAGTGACACTGTCCATAGGGCTGCAGTGGCCCAGCAATACCCCTCTTTCCATTCCTTGCCTTACCATTGTCTCTTCTGCTCCCTTTAGAGAGGTGTTGGTGGCCTCCAGAGAGGCATTGTTGGTGACAGCCACCACCGTGGCTTTGTTGGTGACCACCACAACTGAGGTATTCCTGGTGGCTGCCAAGGCTTCCTTGGTAGTCACCACCATGGCATTCTTGGTGGCTGCCAAGGTGTTCTTGGTGGCCATGGTCACCACTGAGGTGTTCTTGGTGGCCATGGTCACCACTGAGGTGTTCTTGGTGGTTGTCAATGCTTTCTTGGTGGCCTTGACTACCACTGAGGTGTTCTCAGTGGCTGTCGAGGTCTCCTTGGTAGTCACCACCACCATTGCATCCTTGGTGGCTGCCAAGGTGTCTTTGGTGGCTGCCAATGCATTCTTAGTGGCCACAGAGGTGTTGGAAGTGGCCACCACAGCAGCATTCTTGGTGGTGGCCACCACCATGGCATTCTTGGTGACTGCCACCGCTGCAGCATTCTGGGTGGCCACTGAAGTGTTCTTGGTGGTCACAGCCACCAATGAGGCCTTCTTGGTGGTCACTGTCCCTCCCAAGGCTTTCTTGGTGGCTGCTGAGGTGTCCTTAGTGGCCATCACCATGGTATTGGCAGCTGTGCTGTGCTCTGAAAAACAAAAGGCTCCTGCTTGGTGAAGGAGACACCAAGGAAAAACATCATCAGCGAGCCCTGTGTCCCTTCCTGAGCCATGGCACGGTCCAGAGGGACCTGTGGGAAGCATCTGTCACACTGTGGCTGGGAGCTGAAATGGCAGTTAGTAACAGGATGTCCCCAACAGGGTCCACATGCAGCCACCAGCTGGGCAGCCCAAGAAGCAGGTCAGAGCCAGCTGCCCACCCCAGCAGCACTGTGTGTGTGGGTGTCACAACAGCCTCTCCCTCCCACTTCCAGCCATATTTCCTGGGAAGAACAGGCTTTTATGGGGGCTAAACCATGAGGAAAGGTTCCTCACGTGTCCTGCAGCTCTGTCCTACAGAGCACAGCCTGGAGAGGACAGACACAAAGCCCCTGGTGCACCGTTCTGCCTTTGCCCCACCTCCTGCAGGGCCCCAGATTTCCCCTTGGCATACAGAACTCACCTGCTGTGCCAAGAGAGTCCTGAAGACAGAGATGCAGAGCCAAGATGCAGAGCAGCAAGCCTGGAATGGAGTGGGAATGCCTTGAGAGCAGCACACCTGCTGCCTGCTTTACCACCCAGCAGCACAGGCAGCTCATCCTTGAAACAGATAAGCAGGGATACTCCTCCACCTCCCCAAAGCCCCAGGTGACCTCAGGGAGGCCTCTGGCACAGCCCCCAACAGCTGGGGCAGAGATGGAGCCAGGATGGGGGACAGACAGACAGACACTGCTCCCTGTGCTGCACCACAGCCCCATTACCTCGAGTGGGGGGCACGAGCCCTCGGTGTCCAGCCATCCTCATCCTCCAGCAGACCTGGCAGGGGGAGAGGGCTCAGAGCTCACCAGAGGTGCAGGGGGGACACCCAAAGCAGCTCTGCTCCAGTGCTCAGCCCCGGGACAGCCAGGCACCCCCTCCTGAGAGGCTCCCCGAATCCACCGAGGCTGCCGCGGCTGCTGCCGGGGATGGGGAGCCCCGGGGAGCTGTGTGTGCTGTTGGTGTGGCAACAACCCTCCCTGGAGCTCACAGGCAGCACAGCCCTGCAGGCAGCTGCCACGAGCAGGGTGGCACAGTGAAAAGTGCCACCATGCAGCAGTTTGCTGCTGCAAGTGAAGATGTGACCTGGCTCCCCATCCTCTATTTGCATTCCAAATGTTCACCTGTTTTGCTAAGGAAATGGTGGAGGATGTGACTCCAAACAGGCTCCATAGCCAAATTCTCCAAGGAGAATGGTAATACTCCCCTCCTGTTTTATGATTTAGACTCAGTCACCATTCCCCCAGGACCTGGAGGTGCTGAAGCTCATTCAGAGACCTCCAAAGCTGTTCCCCCAGAGTGACAGAAAGAGCCAGCTGGCACCTCACCCTGCAAACCAGCCCAGCCACCACCCAGAACAGCTCTGGACATCCTTCCTGAGCCCGGTGCCAGGCCAGCCCAGCCCCAGGGCAGGCAAGGAGCCAACATCTGCCTGACACAGCCCCATCCCAGAACAACCTTCCCCCCAGGCAGCACTGACTCACCTGCCTGCTCCTGAAGCCCCAGCACAGCTGCAGTCACTGCAGCACGGGAGCACCTGAGCACTGCTGTGGCACCTGCCCCACAGCCCAGCCCCACCCTGGCAGCCAGCCCCCAGGGAAGTGTCACATGCAGCTCCACAGGGGCAGACACAACGAGCCCTGCACAGCAGAGGAGAAAGGGCTTGTGAGGCTGGACCTGTCACACAAGCCACCTCTGCACTCAGAGGACTGGGGGACACAACTGCCCCTGCCACACGTGATGTGAGTGCCTCTGCACAGTGGAGCTGCAATTCTGGAGGCACCATGAATCCACGGGGTATGTACAGACACCTCCAAGTGTGACACCAGGGGACAAGGATGCTCCTGAAGCCACAACAGGCACCTCTAAACAGTCTCTGTTCCCATCTCCATCCTCCTGCACCACAGATGGAGCTGCACATGAATGACCTACCAGGACATTCAAGCCAACAGCAGTGCCACAGAAACCACCCCAGAGCCAAACCTGAAGGTCAGTTGGTAGTTCTCTGAAAAGAACAATGGCCAAAGCTCCCCAGGGAGACAGACCCAAGGTAAAAACAGTTCTGCAAGCCAGGTGAGCTTGTTTTTTAAAGAAAACCACAAGTTCACACCAAGATCTAGAAACAGGACCAGTACCTGTGAGCACAGTGTCCACGTGCTTCAGAGTCAACCCTCACCATAAACATTTCCAGCAGAGTGGAAATGAGAGAAGGAATTGTTTCTGACAGCTGTGTAAAAAGCATTTTAAACACACTGTAATCAAAACCCTTCCAGTGTATGAAAGAAGACAAGTCTCTCAGCACTTCCTAAATTACAATTACTTTATTTTTCATGGTATTTTTTAATATAAAACAATGTCACAAGTCTAAGGGGATTACTAGAAAGTGACTCTATAAAGTATTGAAATCTATATTCATGCACATACAAAATCCAGACAGTGAAGAAGTCAGAGCTGCTGCCAGATCCACTCTCTCTGCAGATGTGTGATCCTTCACCTGGGGACAGCTACAGCAGCCCTTGGCGCTTCAGGTCTTCATAGGTCTTTTTATTCACCACATTCCCACTGGAATCCTCATATTCCTCCTGGAACAGAACCAACAGTTTAGAGACAGCACTCAAATGTTAGCTCCAAGAGCAGCCACTGACCATGAGCACCCTGCCAGAACATCTGTGCAGGAAGGCAGGCAGTGGATCTGCTAGCAGGTCCTGGGAGAAGAGCTCAGCCAGGGCCAGAGTCCTTACAGGTTGTACTACAGATTTTACTTCCCACTTTTGCCCTGCACCCTGCTGAAAAATGGCTTTGGAACAGAAGTTTAGGAAAAGGCACCAGAGTAAGTGAGGACACTGCTCACACCCAGGAGCAAGGGGTTCCCATGGACACAGGGGGAGACACTGAATGCCCCTCACTGCTCACCTCTGTATCGGGCTGCCACCTCTCTGAAGCCTTCTGCTGTTTCAGCTTTGCCCACACTGCAAACACAAACAGGATCTATGTCACTTCCCTTGAGATACTGGTTTCTAAAAAATACACACATGAGCTTTCTTCCCTCCCTTTCAAATCCAGGAATGTATCTAACATCCATTACAAAGTTATCATTCCACTGCATGCTAAATGAAAGGCACCGAACTGCTGCAAGCAAGACTTCAAACAGATTGTTCAGGATGGGACATGAGACCAAGGTCCAAAGCCACTCCCTCAGAAAAGGTGGTGTTCTTTAACATGTTCCATGTTCTGCCACCACTACTTACACGAGACTGCATCCTCAATCTGTGTGACATTGGCAAAGTGTGCTGTGTTGGGAATGCCCAGGCACCGCATTCCGTGGGCATGTCTCCACTCCTGGGGCAAAGACATGAGATCAGTGTGAGAGGGAACACAGAGTGCAAAACATACAATCACAGTACAAATCTACCAGTCTATAAAAACATTATTTTCTTGTCCTGCAGACAGTAACACCACACCAGGCATCAACAGCCACACTGCACCCATCAGAGCTGAGCACTGGAATGGGTGTTCAAACAGGCAGGGATGGTAGCAAAAGAGATCTCTGTATGCCTAACACGATCTCTGGGTCCTGTTGCATGGCCCTGCAGCACAAGCTCAGACCCACATGGCAAAAATGCTGCTCAGGGACCCCAGGGACTCAGCAGTGACTCATTACAATGGATACAGCAGGACTGCTCCTGCAGTGAGTGTCACTTACTGCAAAGTGCCTCTGGAACGCCTTGGGCCCTCGGTAGGTGTAGTTACCACAAATCTCACAGTTGTAGTTGATGTTCAGACCATGGAGTTTATACAGCCAGTATGGGATGGGCTGGAGCAAGGAGACAGCAGGATTAGGTCACATGGCAAAGAAACTCAAACAGAGAAGCAGCGTGGAGTCAGTGACCTGTCCCACTTCTCCAGGCCTGGTAAGTCTCAGTTACCTTCCCATCCCAACCAAGAGGCAGATTTTTAGGATTATAAATGATTTCATTTTCTTCATCTTCACTCTCGCTCTCACTGATCTGCTCTTCCTCCTCCTCCTCTCTCTCCTCCCCTGTGCGTGCCTGCTTGCACTGCACGTTCTCGTGGGTGAGGTGTCTTTGTTCCTGAGGGAGAGAAAGGAAAGGATTGTCCACACACCATGGCAGCAAAAGTCAGGGAAAACTCTTGTAGCCAAAAACTCCCTCAGCGCACAGAGGGAGGAAACAGAAGACCAGCGTGAAGCACGGAACTCCCACCTTACTGAGCCCAACAGTTTCAGTTTTTAGTGCCCTGACATTTCCTATTTGCAAAGAATGAAACCTTGTATCACCTATTAGCACTTTCAATGTTACTGCAGCAACAGCCAATCCCCTGAAAACAACCCCCCAAAACTGAAGGCAAAGGAGCAAGGCAGATCAAAGTAAAGGTTTGCAGTACTTATGAACAAAACAGATGTGGTGCAGCACACTGATGTGATGCTGTCTGTGGAAGCACTATGCAAAGATAAGGACAACATTCCAGTCACTACTTGACAGCTCTGAAATAAAAAGCTTAAAAACAAAATAAAATACTTACTCCAAGAACTTCCACATACTCATATATCTGAGCTTCCAGGAATGCAAGATCTTTATTTCTTTCAGTGTCCCTGAAACAGATGAGGTATCTTCATTAAACACACAAGTTCAGCACTAATTGGTCCAACATAAAAAGCTTTCACTGCTTGGTTCTTAATGTTTTATCTTTCAAACATCTTTAAGGTAATTCTAGTGCAAGAGAGATAGCCACACAAGCATCCCAGAAAGAAATGTGATCCAGGAACACCTCAGAAACTGAAAGGAACTCTACAAAATTGCACCTTACCCGCCACACTTCAGCCCCAGAGCCAGCAAAGCTGATTTTAACCTGTCCAGTCCCAGGGAGGCCAATTCCTGTTCAATTAAATAAACCACTGTAAGAGACAAGCTGTTCAACACATACAATATGGATATAGCCCACTTTAGCTTATTAAATATAGCTCTTAAATATAGCTTATTAAATATAGCTAAATACAGCTATTAGCTTATTAATGAAGAAAAAACCCTGATGAACAGTGTTTAAGAAAGGACTGTCAACAATGTACCCCTGCTCCCAGGAAAATGAGGAATGTGGAATCTAACCAGACCTTTCAAGTTACACCCCCCAATGGGAGAAATCACATCATCAGCACCACCAAAGTTTTACCCAGAAAGCACAAAGCCAGGGACAAAAATACAGCAGTAAAACTACACAAAAAAAACCCCAAATGATTGAACTTCCTCCTGCTCAAAATGCAGGCAGTAGGTGCAGAGCACTGGAGACATACCTCCCAGGAGGAGAAGGCTGAGAGGTCCAGGTGGGCACCAGCATGGGTGAGGGCACTGCTGGTCTCTTTCTGCCAAAAAACAAATAAACACATACAAGAGCTGCACAACAAACTATGACACTTCTAGCCACAGATCATTTTAATCTCAAGAAAAGCAGTTCATTTCACAGAGAAAAATGCTCTCACTAAACAGAAAATGGAGCAGTAGTGAAGATGCAGAATCAGCCAGTCTGAAACAATGCTCGTTTTAAAGCAGTTATGCTGGGTTTTAAATTCAGTCAGTATCACCCTGCACCCTGGTGACACAGAGCTGCAGCCCTCACTGTCATGGTCACCCCCAGCACAAACGAGTCCCACAACCCCCTCCCAAGCACAGAACACCACCAGGCTCAGGCTGCTCACCGGCCAGCCCGGGAACGTGCCGTTCTCCCACTTCTTCTCAAACTCCGTCTGAATTTTCCCAAAAAGTTCATTCTGGTCCAGTAATGGTTTCACTCGATCTGTGTAATCCTGCAGGTACTCAAGGAGCATCTCAAGATACCTGGCAGGGGAATCATGAGCACAGGTAATTAATTCACTGTCACCCTCTAAGCACATCTTTGGGCAGTCACTACCCTCCAGGGCTGCAGAGGGACGTGACCAAGGTCAGGCCAGTTTTCCACACAGGATTTTCTTGACACAACAGTTCCAAGGGTACATTAAAGCTCTTCCTCTGAGCTGAGTGTGGCTCTCCACATCTCTGCTGCACTGCAAGTTTGCTTGGGGCTCAGACACGACTGAGCTCAGGAACCCAATTTATGTGAGTTAAGTTTGGCTGTTAATTATAATCTCCACAGCTGAACACTTCAGAAGCAAATTTCTTCTCACCATAAAGGAAGCAGGCAGGCAAACAGGCTCACCTCTTGTATTCGGCATTTTTTCTCTCCTTGGGAATATCGAAGAGTTGGTCAAATGTGGATAAGTAAGTGATATAATCCAATTTCTATGAACAGAAAGTCTGAGTCAGAATTCACACACAGCCAAATCAACATCCAGCTCCCAGAAAAGAGAAGCCCAGCCTGTGCAGGGCCTGGAGATCCCTGGGCCCACACACAGCTGCCACTCACCTCTGAGGATTTCAGGTTAATGTACTTGAGGTAACAATCATGCAAATCCAAGTATCGTCCATACCCCTCCTCGTCTGTGAACTCCACCAGATCTGTAGGAAAGATCATGAAAAGCTTTATTACGAGCTTAATATTCCCTGCTTATTATACAACAGTTTTTGAACTGGAAAAGGATCAGCTGTGAAGTCATTTATGCTAAAGGAAGGGGCTATCATGCCTCTGACACTCATTGAGCAGCCCCAGCTGCTGCTCTGTGCAAGCACCAGAACATTCCTCAGGAACAGCAGCCTCACTAAGAACATTCCAGGGACTGCAGTTCAGAAGCATTTAGATGACAGGAAAATTTTCAGAATTCATTTAGTAAACAGGAGGTGAGGCCCTGAAACATGCAAACCAGATCAAACAACATATTAAATAATGCCAGAGCTCGAGCACACTACAAACTTACTCTGAGCTTCTTCACTCGGGTTGTCTCTGGCCTTCAGCAGCTCCTCAAACTCCACTGACATAGGAACACAGATCTGCATGGGCAGACACAAGGCACACAGTAATTTACTTCAGCTCCTGCCCCAGAATAACTAATATAAAATCACACAAGGTGGCAAATAATGAAACTGCAAACAGAAAAGAGACTCAAAGCTTTGTCACCTTTCTTTCTGCACAAAGATAAAAGTGTGGCTTTAGCCAGCGTGAGAAAGGTGAGATGTGATCCCAGCTCAGCTGAACATCCCTGTTCTAGCTGTGAGTGTCCTGCACTGCTCCCTCACATGCTCCTGACCCTGAGCAGCTGTGCTGAGTGTTCTCAGTACTTGTGTGTTAATGCAATAAAACTGGGGAAACAAAAGCTCTGTTTCCTGTAGGGATGAGACCCAACAGAGCACATCTCACCACAGGTAACTACTCACCTCATTTGGGTGCTTCCGGTGAAATTCCTTAATTTGCTTCAGTCTGTTGTAAAACTCTGCAAATTCATTTGGCCCGGAAATGGCACTGAGTTCCTCCTTACGCAGGCTATGAGTTGATGGACAGCAACAGATTACGAAGGGAAGGGAAGGGAAGGGAAGGGAAGGGAAGGGAAGGGAAGGGTGACACTGACACAGCCTTAGTCTGGGTCTGTGCTGCAGTGCCTGACTGCAAACCTGCGAGCCATGGGGGCCCTCCCAGCCCAGCAGGCTCAGGGGCTTGTGGCTACATTCCCCTGCACAGGCTGCAGCTCCTGACAAACCCCCGGAGCAGCCCATGACATTAACACAACACAACAAAACGTGTCCATCCAACACGGATGCTTGCGGTGTGCCCTCGGCTCCTGCCCTGCATTTAGCCACCACATCTCCATTCGCGTGTTGCCTTTAGACATTCACACTGACTTCAAACAGCAGGGCACGCTCAGGCACCCGAGGGCCCCGGGCACACTCACCCGTCCTTGTCGTCGTACAGGTCCCGCAGGTTGCCGCTCACCTCCATGTACCTCTGCGGAACAAAGGAGAGGCCCGGGCCCGCCGAGCCCGTTACCGGGCCGGGCCCCGCTCGCTCCGGGGAGCCCGGCCCGCCCACAGCCCCGGCCCCAGCCCCGCTCCCAGCCCAGGAGCACTCACGTCCTGCATGGCCCGGGTGCGGTGGTCCGAGTTGATCTGGTCGCGGAGCTGCGGGGAGAGCAGAGCGGTGAGCGCGGGCCCGGCAGGCGCCTCCCGCACCCCCAGGCCCCGGGCGCACCGTGGACTTCTTGGTGAGCATCTCCTTCACCATCACGTCCATGAGCCGCTCCCGCTCCTCATGGTACCGCCGCTGCTGCTCCAGGATCGTCTCCATCCCGCGCACGGCTCCCGCTACCGCCGGAAGGCCCCGGTAAGGCTCCGGTGAGTGTGAGGGAAGGTTCCGGTTCCGGGGCGCTGCACCGTGCTCCGGGCCGGCCGGCAGGAGGCGGCTGCGGCCCGGCCGTGCCCCTCAGCGCGGGGCCGCGTCCGAGAGCGGGGCCGCGTCCGAGCACCGTGTCCGAGAGCGGTGACACAGCACGGTGTCCGAGAGGCAGGGCAGTGTCCGAGCCCGGTCTCTGAGCCCAGTGTCCGAGAGCGGTGCCGTGTCCGAGCACCGTGTCCGAGAGCGGGGCAGCGTCCGAGAGCGGTGTCCGAGAGCGGTGTCCGAGAGCGGTGCCTTCTCCGAGCACGGTGTCCGAGCCCGGTGTCCGAGAGCGGTGTCCCAGCACCGTGTCCGAGCACGGAGCAGTGCCCGAGCCCGGTGTCCGGGAGTGGTGTCCCAGCACCGTGTCCGGGAGCGGTGTCCCAGCCCGGTGTCCGGGAGCGGTGTCCGAGCACGGAGCAGTGTCCGAGCGGCAGGGCCGTGTCCGACCCCGGTGCCCGAGCGGGTGCTCGTGTCCCAGCACCGTATCCGAGCACGGAGAAGTGTCCGAGCCCGGTGTCCGAGAGCGGTGCTCGGTGGCACTGAGTGGCCCCCGCTGCCGGTTTGTCTTTAGGGCTGCCCCGGCCTGGAGGCCTCTCGGCGTTGCCCGGTGCCGGGCCGGGCCGAGCCGTGCGGGACGCGCTCGCAGCTCACCGTGCCCGGTGCCTCGGTGCCCGGCAGCGCAGACTTTGCTTTCAGCCGCACGATCACCGTGCTCCCACAGCCACCCCTGTGGGTTTCAACTGCCTTCTTCAGATCCACCCTAGATCCAAGGGTGCCTTGCCCCAACACTGCCAAATGCAAAGCAGTAATTACATTTGCACTCACCTTATGTGAATAAGTTATTTGTATTTTTTCTGCCATGCACAATAAATTACGCCAAAAGCAAGAAAAAAAAATGTTTTAATTAATGGCAGACAAAGATGATCCTTCATTGAGGAGAGGATGATGCTGCAGGTAAGAATATTGCCTTTAATTACTCCCTTGCGTTATAGGCTGCCCTAAAGTATATCACTTTTTTCATGAATGCCTGCCTAAAAATAAAAACAGAGATATGATTCTGAACTTCGTGTTCTTCCATTTCTCTTCGCATGAAACTTCATCTCTGGAAAGGGAAGGAGTTGAAATCCAGCAATGTTCCACCCAGCCACTTGGCCTCCTTATTTTGGGCTGCTGGTATCAAGAGTGGAGAGGAGAGGATCGAGGTGGGACAAGACCAGCCCTTGCACGCCCACCCTCCTGCTCATCCCACAGATGGGAGGAGGTGGGAGAAAGTTGGCCCAAGAGATTTGGCCATTTCATTTCAGGACAGCAGCAGCCTGTCAGGGGCCGGGAGCTGAAATGCAGAGAACCACAGAATATCCTGAACTGGAAGGGACCCATGAGGATCATCAAAGTCCAGCTCGTGGCCCTGCACAGGACTCCCCAGGCAGTGGTTTGAACCTGGCTTTGCCCATCAGGGCTGCAAATGCTGTCCCTGCCCCACAGTGGTGCAGGAGAGCACAGCTTGGGCAGATTTGGTCAGGCCAGGGTCTCTTTCTACCCCTGCAGTGCTGCCCCATGTCCTCAGCAGCTTCCCCACTCCCACCTCACCAGCACAACAGCCCTGGCCTGACCCCCCTCACACTGCTCCTCGTGCTTAATAAAATTTCCATGACTGTTTCAGACCCACACTCCAGAGTCTCGGGGGATGTTTGTGCATGACATCACCCTCCCCCTCCTGTAAATCAGGCACTGGGCCATGTTCAGCCATGACCCATTCATGACAGGGATAAAATCCAGATGTTCCAGTGCTACGTGCAGCTGGGTCATTTCCTTTTTTGGCTAAAAACGTGAGGCTCTGGAGGCTGACTGAAAGAGGAGCCTGGGGGCCCCTTGTACAGAAACCTTTTGCGGTTAATCCCTGGAAACAGCGCTGCAGAAATCCCGGCTTGTGCTGCTGCTGCTGGAGGACAGGCTCAGCTGGGAACCTCTGGGCTGGAGCTGCTCACTCACCCTCCAAGGGCCAGCACAGCACCAGAGCCCAGCCCAGGCCACAGGGCAGCAGCAGCAACAAAAATCCTGCTAGAACTCCATCAGGCAGCAGAGCAGAGCCCTTGAAGCAGGCACAAACCAGTGCCATGGTCCTGCACAGAGGCACCCCATGGGCTGTGCCCATCCTGCCACTGGAGCAGCACCCACGGGAGCCCAGCCACTGTGCTGGGAGGGCTGGAGCAGGCAAGTCCAGAGCAAGTCACGGCAGCTGTTGGCAAATGTAAAGGATCTGTGGAAAATAGTTTCATATGTTAGGGAATAAATGGCTCCCTGACTGATAAACATGAGTAAAGAGCATGCAGCGCTTTCAGGGAAGGCTGCCAAGAGGGACCACGGATATCCTGGCTGGAGGCTGCAGCAACATCTACCCGAGGAGTGCCCTTGGAATGTCGTGTTGTGGGCAGGCAGTGCACACTGCAGGGCAGGCAGGCTGCTCTGCACAGGGCTGGGTCAGCAGGCAGGGCACACTGCAGGGCAGGGTCAGCAGGCAGGGCACACTGCAGGGCAGACAGGCTGCTCTGCACAGCAGGGCTGGGTCGGTACCGCAGCGATCCCCACAGCCCTGCAGCCAGCCTGCAACACAGAGCAGCACCTCATGTCCTGCTGGGGCCTGTCCTGCAGAACTACCTGCCTGTACAGACAGCAAGCACGGACAGATGGACACCCCCAGCCCCAGGAGGCCACTGCAGCCACCCAGCAGGAGGAGAGAGATGCTGTTGCTCTGCCACAGCCCCAGGCCTGATGGTGGGCTGTGCTTTGGGAAGGCAGGCGCGAGCACTGCAGAGGTTGCCCATCCCCAGAATGGGAGCAGGGGTGAGGCAAGGCTGAGCAGAGCCCAGCACCCACTCAGTGCTCTGCCCCGTGCCTGCTGTTCAAGAGACACAGAAGAGAAAGTGTCACGAAAATGGTTTGTTTATTGTATAAAGCTGTAGGAAATACAGAGGACGCTGAGGTTTAGGACAATTCCTTCTAGAGATGGCTCCAACCTCCTCTCATAATAGCAAACACACAAACTCTGATTTGCTGTCATCAAAGCTTCCAAACAAGGATTCAACAAGGATCTGGACACAGAGTAATAACACTTCAACATGCATAACATTTTCTGTTCCTAAGTGAAGCCCGGGTGGGGGGCTAGCCCCTTTATCCTGTAGTTGTGTACAAAATGATGGATATTCATGAGTACAAAAGGGAAAACACCCACAAAAGAACAGGTTTTCAGAAAAGCATGTGGCTGACTAAGCAGGAAAGCAGGGTCGGCGAAAAGTGTCCCAGTGAGACAGAAGCAGAAAGATGTAGAGACAAGGCAGGAATGAGCATCCCACTGGGAGGGGCTGTAGCCCAGGGCCAGCTCAGCCATTGGGCAAGGATTGCTCAAGGCCTCATGTGAGTCTGGGATGGCTCCAGACACCCTATTTTGCAGTTAGGGCCAACTGGGACCTGGGCAATGCAAAGTTATTGTCCCCACCCCACCCATGGTCTTTGCTTTGCATCTTGTTTGGGACACAGGGAAGGATGAGTGTGGCTGGAAGGAGCCACCACTCCCTGCCTACCACAGGGGACACAGGCAGCCCTGGAGGAGCAGGTTGTGGACATCCTGCTGCCCCCTCAGCTGCTCTCTGTGCTGCAGCCCTGTGCTCCTACAGACCCTCCCAGCAGCTACTAATCACAGGCACAGTCTGTGGGCAATTCTCCCTTCCCTGAATTAATTATCTCTGGTGCTCCCAGTGCTGCTGGCAGCTGGGCTCTGATAGCAGTGCCCGTCTCATGGATCCTCATGAGAGGGATGGAGGAGGAATAAAGCTCTGAGTGCTCCCAGCCTTCAGCATGCCCTTCTCTAGGACTCAGCCAGATGCACCTGAGCATCAGCAGGCCAGCACTCCCAGCTCCAGCTCAGCCACCCCAGCCATGGGAGGTCACAGCACAGGTGGATGGGAAAGGGGTAGGTGTGGGTGGGCTGAATGCCCCGTACCTACAAGTGACTTGAACTCTTCATTCACAGCTAAGAGAGCACTGCCATGGAGATGCTGAGCAAAGGGTCTGGCCTGCAAAGAGTGAGGTGCTACAGAATTCCAGAGGTGGATCCCATCTGAGGATGTATGCTCTTCTCCTGGCCACACTCCAGCCTGGTGTCCCCAAACCTCTAGAACAGAAGACAGTGCCCTTCATGCCTGGGCCAGCTGTGCAGGTGGGAAGGCTGTGCAAAGCCAGCTGTGACACAGGCCAGCATGGCCCCGAGACACTGCCTTGTGCCACCCAGAGCGAGGGAAGCACACGGAGAAAGAAGAGAGGTCAGAAGAGAGGTCAGTGCCAAGGGGTGAACACATGCTTGCCAGCATGCAGATCCTGCAGCCCAGTGCCGAAGCCACTCCTGCCCTTTGCTCAGCTGGAGGCCTGGGCTCGTGCCTGGTTAGACTGGAAGCGAAAAGAAAGAGTAAATAATGGGGGGGTCTTGAAGCTCCTTTTTCAGCTTTATTTAGCTTTGACTGCACAGAGCCATAGCACAGCGTACTCTAGCCTTCAGGGAGGGGGCACAGGAACCCCCTGAACACACGGCGGCTCAGGTCAGCCCCCATCTCCTGTGCCTCGTGCTGTGCCCCTGCAGTGCTGCCGGGGAACCTGGCACAGAGGCCCTGAAGAACAGAGGAGGCCCTGCCCCGCCGTGCCCTCGGGGCTCATAGGTCGCTGCTGCAGTCGCGGCACAGGATCTCGTCGTTGTCGGGGATGAAGCCCTTCCCCACCAGCGAAGTGCTGCAGCGGGCACAGTTGAAGCAGTTGTGGTGCCAGTGACGGTCCTCAAAGGAGACGTATTTGCCACCACCAAAACCTGTGGGAGGGACAGAGGGCAATGGCAGTTTCTGGGGAAACTGGGATGAGCTTCCTGCTCCTCTCCAGGTCATGGCACTGGTGGTGGCACACAAAACACACCCCAGGATCAAATAATGCG